AGAGAGAGAGAGAGAGAGAGAGAGAGAGAGAGAATGGGACCTTAATTCCTCTAAGGGAAGGGAATGGCCCATAGAATTAGGAAAACATGCCCATATGTGTATGTATTTCAAACTGCCTGTTGGCATATGGTGACTCCATGAATTTAACAGGGTTTTGTTAGGGAAAGAACAAGAGGTGGTTTTACTAGTTCCTTTCTTCTCTGAAATATAGCCTTCAGCACGTGGTGTTCATTGGATGTCTGCCATCTAAATACTAACCAGGGCTGATCCTGCTTAGCTTCTAAGAACAAACAGGATCTGGTGCTTTTACTTGTCAGTAGCTAAATTAGGCTGGAATTGCAAGACCTTAGACAGCTCAGTTGAGTCCTTTGATCATTTTAGAGACAGATTAACATTCCAGGACCTATTCTTTTCTGAGGAGTAGTAAACTTTCAAGAAAAAGCTTTCTAGCCAAGTGGTCTGTCATGCTTCAGTCAGTTCCTATTGTAGATATTATCTTTGCTCACTTGAAAGGAGCTGGCCACAGAGTACATCCCTTCTCTATGCTCCCATATCTTCAATGTTTTCTCATATTGGTTTAGATAATGTAAGAAATTTAAGGATATTGCAGTTCATTTACCCTTTAAGTGCTTCCTAAAAAAACCCATTGTTTGTTTCTAAAGTTATGCCACTTCAAATTCTATATATTAATGAAATGGAAAGTAATCTACAGGCAAACTACATAGTATGTTGCAAAAGTCAAATGAATTCTTTGCACCTGTCTTCACTGCCGAAGATGTAGGGCACATATCCATGTCTGTACTGACAGTTTCAGTAAGGAAGCTTGAGCTACTGATGAAAATAGTTATGATTATATTGACATATTTGAAACACACAAATAATTGGCTCCAGCTGGCATCTATGGAACCTTCTTAAAGAACTAAAATGTGGAGTTGCAAAAGTGAATACTTTTTCAATATAGCTGGTCTCTGAACCAGAATACTGGTACACTATTCTCCAGTGCCAATGCGATACAGTAAACACCAATGCCAATGTAATAAGGATTATTTTGTTGGTTTCTTACAAAGGACTGGAGTGAAGAACAGATCTGGTTCATTAGTTTAATATCAGTAGACACTGTTATCAAGTACACAGAAGGACAAATTTGGCTGAAGAAGAAGCAACACATTTTCTGAAGTGATCATGTACCAATCTTTTAGAGTTCTTTCAGACTCTCATTGACCATGTGGACAGTGGTGTTCCAATAGGCATTGTTTATTTGAACTTTAATCCTGTGGTGCTCCTCACTGGGGTATCTATGGTGGCATAGTTAGTGGCAGCAGGAAGGAAACTGCAGGTACAGCAGCCATGAAAGAAGTCAGACATTGGTGAAATAGGTTGCTTGTAGCTGGCCAATTTTGTCTATCTTCCACTGGTGCCACTGCATGTTCCTGAAACAAGTTAATCCACTAGAATAGTGCACTAACAGAAGTCCACCCTTGAATTGTCAAAACAAGTTCCAACAGAAGAGCACAGACTTCCAAGTGATTATGTATCTTATTTTTAGATGTAATGTTTTAAATAATTTTTTTTTGTTTAAATTATCCAGTCCTACAAAATATGTACAAAATTACATTAAAAACTCAAATAAAATTAATAAATAAAACTTGGACTATATTTACATAAGTTTGTTTGTGACACTCTGAGAGACAGAGAAATTCTATATGGAGGTATTTGTTAGTAAAAGAAAAAAAAAGTACACACATACAATGTATAATTGTGAAAATAGTCTAATATTATATTTGTTTCCACCATATGCATACTGATTTTGTGACTGTCCTACACATGTTGTTGTTGTTGTGTGCCTTCAACTAGATTCCAGTTTATGGTGACCCTAACATGAACCAATCATGGGGTTTGCTGAGGCTGAGAGTATGTAACTTGCTCAAATTCAGCCAGTGGGTTTCCATGGCTGAACAGGGATTCAAACCCTGGTCTCCAGAGTCATAGTCCAATACCTAAACCACTATGCCATGTTGGCTTTGCCTACGCATGTGCTGTTTTCTGCTCATTCCTTCCCTGAATCAAAACAGATTTCCCACATATTTCTTCTAAGGCTGCATCTACATTGCAAAATCAATGCTATGGATTTCTGGGATTTGCAGTTTTGTGAGATATTTGAACTTAGCAATAGCAATATAGCAAGTACATTTCTATACTGCTTATCAGTGCACTTAAGCACTCCCTAAGTGGTTTACAATGTATAAGCTAATTGTCCCCAACAAGCTGGGTACTCATTTTAGTGACCTTGGAAGGATGCAAGGCTGAGTTGACCTTGAACCCACAACCTGGTTTTGAACCCACAACCTTGTGGTTTGTGAGCGAGTGGCTGCAGTGCAGGCGTTTAACCACTGTGCAACTAGGGCTCCTACCCTTCTCTGTCAGAGAACTCTGTTACCACAACAAACTACAAATTCCAAGATTCTATCAGATGGAGCTATGACAGATAAAGTTGTATCAAATTGCATTATTTCTGCAGTGCAGATGAAACCTAAGTGAAGTAATCTTAGCTCTTCTGTTGAGAAGGCTTATATACAACCTATTTCTTAGCTGTACTGGACAATGTTGCAGTGGATCTAGGGCATGCAGTGTCTAAATGCTGGGACTACCATCACCATTTTGTAGGTTTCCATGTTCTTGTCAGCATCAAAGCACTTGATGCTTTGTTTCCCAGCTCCAGATCTTGTTGTGAACTCTCTCAATCTCTCTTTCTATGTGTGTACACATACACCAGTGTGTAAGCCTTCATTTTTGGACTCTCTTTAAGGATGTGACCAAGTGCCTACACTTTAATGTTTCCAGATTCACTACTCGAACTAGATTAGAAACAATAATAAAATATGAACATAAAGAACACCCCATGTATCACTCAAATTCTCAGCTCTACATACACATATTGCTGCTGCTGCTGAAAGCCAATGGCCTTACAGCACCAGCCAAACTAGAAAAGCTGTATGACCTCTTTCCATCAGAAATGCCTTCACCAAAAGGGCCTGCTAATAGAGAAGCAAGCTTTGTGTGTGCATGTGTATTTAATTCAGTCCATCTTTGTCTGCCTGAAAGAGGAAAACAATTTTTGTAATATTTGAGTGATCAGATTTATTATCATTTCAGTGCTTCATATAAAAGAACTTTTGATTTACCAACCAGCAAAAACAGAACTGTGGAAACAGGCATAATTTAGGATGGCAGCTTTCTTCATTAAAGTGGCATTTTAGTTTGGAACAAATGGCAAAAATAAATGTACTACCTAAAAAATAATGTGTCATTTTTCAACACAGTAAGTGTGTAAAGTGGTTTTCCTTCAGAGCACTTCTCTTGATTTATAAAACACACAGAAAGAGCCTAAATCTATTTAAAGGAATGTACATGGCAGTGCTAAATAATGAGTCAACCATGTATAATAAAAGAAAGCACTGTCTGGTGACTTTGTGGCAATGGCTGTTGCAAAACCATCAGTGGATATACACATGCAAAGGTTACATTTTATTCCTGTTTTTAAAAGAATAATAATGAATTTCTGATCTTGATAAAGACCAATGCTATCAAAAATGAAATAATATCTCTGGAATAGCATATTGGGCTAAATCCAACTTTCCATGTGAAGAAACTCTGGAACATTTTCTCCCTCCTTTCACCTCTGCAACCCTCTATGTAATGTGAAAATTGGTGCTTTCTCAGCCCTTCAGAGCCAGTTTTGGGGAGATTGCAGTGGGAGAGGGGATTATCTTGCCCAGATTCTCAAGGATTCCACTTTTCTACCAGCTAAAGTACCCCACTGGATACAATCCAATGCATATCCAAACAACCTGTAAAAGCACAAAATAAATAAATAAATAAAGGACCTGATGCAAACAAAGTTAAAAAAAAGTATCTCCACATTTTTAGCTATGAGAGTTAATCTGCTTAAAAAATTGATTGTGTTGAAGGTGTAAATGAGAACAAATGATCATTGTTAATTTTTTTTCCTAAAATGCTTAATCTTTAATGAGCTCTCAAGTCTCATCTTGCATACATAAGTTTGTATACATATACTCTTCAACTTCTATAGAAGAGACAATTATTTGGATATACAGTCGAGCCTCCATTTTTGCAGGGGATCTGTTTCACCCCACCCCCCTGTGAAAATGAAAATCCGCAAATATTCAAGCCTCATTGGCTTGAATGGCTGCGTGGTCCTGCACGCGGCTCTGTGTGTGTGTGCTGTGGGTGCATGCACCATTTTATCCCTCCCCACTTGCTGGTCTGTGAAGGACCAAGTCCATGGATTCGAAGTCTGTGAACAGGGAGGGAATGTTTTAATGTTAGTTTTAAATGTTTTCAGTACAGCTGCACCAATATTGCTAAGGAAATATATTTTTTTCAGAGAACATTTCTGAGATTCGTCCCAAGAAAGTGACCAATTGTTTCACTCTCAAAAACAAAAGCCACTTCACATAATTTGCTCTGAATTATCACTGCGACTTATCCTTCTCTTTCTTCTTTTTCTTTTCCACTGGGTGGTGGTCACCATTTTCCTTAACAATTTACCTGGAAAAACACTAGTTCTGAGGTACTAAGGACACAAAGCAGCACTCAAGCTTCAAACAGAGATGCCATAACAACAGGCGACTGACTTGTGACATTAGAACCTATGGGGGAAAAAGAAGACATTGAACCACTACCACTGGGAATAATAGATTTTGTCCTAGAGAAACCTGAAGAACATCTTTTCACCCTAAAGAAATTCAATGGAATTCTGACAAATATTTTGAAGAAATTTGAGAAGCCATTCTAAACAGCTTTTACTTTTATAACATTAACTTCTTGAAGATAGTTGTAAACATACTAACTACATTTTAACAAAGTATCTCATAAAGTCTAAAATATGGACAAAAAGAGGTCATGCTGTTCCATGGATAACTGCCAGGAAATAAGAGATACAGTGATGATTAGAATGCGCATAACAGTCCACAGTGCCTTGCTTTTTAGCCCACAAATCTATACCTATTCAGACATTTTATGTCAATATAAAATAAACACATGAGGAAGAGGAACAATACTGCTCTCATCTGTCTCTGTTTTCATCATTCTCTTCATGAGGAGAGTAACTTATTGAAGAGACAGCATGGAGAATTTCCATGTGGTTCACAACTAGATATGTGAATAAGTTTTATCAATATCTTGTTTATGGTAGGGGTAGACTGACTCAACACAGAGAGGCAGCCTATTAAGGATTCCTCAACCCTAACAAGATTTCCCACCTCATCATGATAGAAAGGCAGCATTTTTCTTTTTGCTGTGGTTTGTAAAGCTGATCAGACAAAAAGAGAGCAAAGAGAAAAGAACAGAGATGCTAACAAAGGGCACCATATTTCTAGTTTTTAATTTTATTTTTAATAGTCCATGTAGCAAAGCAAGAGTTACCATGGTTTTAAATTTTGCTTATTTACCAAAAGTTGTCTTACAAATGGACAAACCATCTCAGAAAGAGACCAAAAATCTCTTCTCACATCTCTGCAGAAAGATGTGTATGTGTATTTGTCTGCATCCTTGTTTAGCATGTGAAGAACAAACAATGAAAGATTTATATCCCTATCAAAAACACTGGAAATTCAGCATTATGAATAACACACAAAGTATTGCATCAATCCTTAATGTTTTATAAAATCACCCGATACATGAGGAGAATAATGGAAGCTAGTGAGATAGAAAGTAGCAAAGGTGTTTGGTGGCTCCCATGTCAGTGGCTGTTAAATCTACTCTGGGTTTAGTCCAAACTAGAACCCATAAAATATTACTTAGGGCCTTTACAGACTGCTAGAAATAATGCAGCTTGAGGCCAC